AATGAAGTGAGGCCAGGGTGAGCTCTTACATGTCAAAGAACTATGCACTGCAGCGGTCCTTCAGAGCTGTAAACATCTCACCCAAGTGCCCACCAGAGAACCAACATTTGACATTTACCTGACAAGAAGGCCTCTGCAACCAGTCAGAGTTGGCCAAACAGCAATTGTCAAGAGAGGACTGACGTCACACATCCAATTCAGAATGATATGTGTGCCTGTTTCATCCTGATCTGACTTCTCTATCTCAGCACCCAGGGAGCTCACAATGTGAAGATGTGTGGTAGGACCACGCCCTTTCCTCATGGCTGTCCCATTGATCTGAGGCAGTCTAGAAAACATGAGATGAACATTTTAAACTGGACTGGACTGGTGTGTGTGTGTGTGTGTGTGTGTATTTAACAGCTGAAAATAACTAAATCTAAGGGCTGTCCTTGGAATGTCATTAAAGAACAGAACATGTAGATTTGATTTTTGCAAGGGAGTGATTTAAAAACCCATATTTCATTTGTACCTCATGAAGCAGACTGCTTAATGAACTACTTACATATTAAAAAGCTATTCATGAAAGACTCAATTGACAGGTAACAGATTACAAACACTTTCACTTCTAGTATTGATCTGAGCATAATCAAGTGAACACTGAATATAAATTACCCTGAAAACATCTCTGATGGAAGAACTCTTTACTGGAGCCTTATTTTAATATAGTCAGTCCTTTGGGAGTGAACATTTCAAATATTACACTCTGCTCTATCTATTACTTCACCCTATATATTTTGTAGGGCAATGGCGACGAGGGCTGTTGCACAGGAGACTCTTCGAATGCCATTTGGTTCAACAGAATGTTCATGACATCTACTGTCATCACCATCGGAGGTAATAAAAATATTTAAGCATTCAAAAATTATGCATCCATTATTTATTGTTTCATTTATCTACCACATGTTTATTGAAGCCCTAAATGAGTACTGCTAGACTCCTTGAGGGATAAAACATGATTTAGACACTGATCTCATTCTCAGGATGCTTCTAGTTAGGTAAGGCTCAAGAGGTACAGAAATGAAAAGGCAAGATACCTTGGAAAGGATATGCGCTTAGATCAGGCAACTGGCCTCCTGCCCTGTTTTAGATAAGGGACATGCCCCCACCAAGAGCCTGAGCTTCCTCCAGCTTCTAGACTAAATCTGGGTATCTGAGATCTCAGAATCCCATACATAAGTGTCTCCCTATCCATCTTCCCAAGCGTACACTGCACAGCTGGTATGCACAGGGGTGACCCAAGGCGTGGTCAAGAGATGGCTGTCTGCAGGGATAGTGGATAGGAAGAATCTGGAAAAGGGGGACAACTCTTCCTGCACTACCTTTAACAATTTATTAACTTAATTAGTGACTTTTCATATTGAGACTATGTTATGAGGGCCTCCAATTACTCTTGCCCTGGGTAACCACACATGCTAGGGTGGCTTGGCTGTGGGAGTTCAGGAGGAAGGGGAACTCTGCCTTGGCAGTATTTGAGACGCTTCCCTGGGGACATGGAGCTTGGGCATGAGGAGAAGGGAAGGAGAAAGAAGAATTCCCGGCAGAGGGACCATCACACTGAAAGGCATGGAGACTGAAAATGTCAGCTGATATGTGGTAAGTCTGGCTTTCCATGAGGAAATCAGGAGTGGAAGAGTAGAAACCACGGTTATAAAAGGAAAAGGAGACCAGCCCATGGACAGTGTGGAAGGCTAGGTCATGGTGAAGTGTCCCGTATTCTCTGCACAAGAGAATTCATTTAGATAAACTGATGCTCACAGCATCTGATAGTTGCACCAGCAAGTTCAAGCCTTTGAATTTTCTTCTGAAGACAGTGGGATGTCACTGCAAGTTTGAGCGATTTTTTTTTTAAAGACTGTAGCAGAGGATAGTTTTATTAGAGCAGAAAGTTACAGCTCTTGAAATGAGAGGGGGTCCTGTCTGGGATGCCCCAAGTTTGAGCAATTTTGATCAGGTCTACTTTGTAAAGATAGCGCTCTGGCCTGCCATGAGGTTGGGAAGTCTGGGTGACTGAAGGGTGGACATCAGTGAGCAGGCAACAGTAGAGAACAGAGCTAGGATAGTGGGGAAGGTAAAGAGGAAACATTTTTGAGATAACAGAAAGGTAGAGAAAGAGATGAAAAGTGACCCCACGACTTTGTGCCTGGCTTCTTATGAGGTTGGTGATGCCATTTGATGAAAAAGATTTTTATTGGAATATGGGACATTTTGTTCATAGGTTGAAGGCAGAGCTGACAGGATTTGCTGCGGGGCTGAATGTGGGGTGAGAGAGAGAGGAGTCAAAAATGATTTCAAGGTTTCCAAGCTGAGCAAATGGAAGGACAGAGTTGCATAAAAGCTAAGGCTGAGAGGACCCTTTTAAGGAGACTTGGCTGCTTTAGAAGGAGCTTTTGGTGTTTGGTTGACCATCTTTGCTCTGCCAACACAGAAGTGTGACCAGATCGTCCTCAGACTACACTGGATACCCCGGTGGGCGGAGGGTGGTGGGGATGGGATTAGGAGGAAGAAAGACTTGGGTACATGCCTTGAAGTTTGTACTTGTTCATTAGCCATTAGCATAAACAATCACCCACTTGTTTTGTAATATGTTGTCCACAGAAAGTGTGTGCCTAGAGGAAACAAACACATTCATGACTTGGACTAATCATCGCTGAGTGTGCATTGGATGTATGGAACAGGACTGTGCAATATGAGGAATCAGAATGTAATCCATGGATCTTTTTGATAAACAGAAACCTCCATTTCTAGTGTCATCATCTTGTTCCAACTCACGCTTTTATTTTATTTTATTTATTTTTATTTTTTTAGTTTTTTTTAAAGATTTTATTGGGGAATTGCAGAAGGGGAACAGTATTGGGGAACTGGGGAAGGGGACCAGCCAAGTCGTTGTCCTTCAAGTCTTCATTGTGGAGGGCGCCAGTCACCATCTGGCTTCCGGTCGGCAGCTTGTGGCTTCTAAGCTCAAGGTGTTGTGTTCAATCTTAGTTGCGGGTGGGCGTAGCCACCATCCCATGCAGGAGTTGAACCAGCAGCCTTGTTGTTAAGAGCACACGCTCTATCCACTGAACCATCTGGCTGGCAGCTCAGCTCAAGGTGCCAAGTTCAGTCTTAGTTGTGGGTGGGTGTAGCCCATCATCGAACAGGCAATCTTGTTGTTACACCAGCTGAGCCATTCTGCCACCTGTTGGCAGCTCAGCTCGGGCACAGCATCACTGGCACATGTGGGAATTGAACCGGCGGCCCTGTTGCTCAGAGCTTGTGCTCTTAAGCCAACTCTTAATCAACTGAGCCACTTGGTGGGCCCCCCAACTCAAGCTTTTAAATAGCTCATATGTCCAATGTCTTGGAGGATCCCAACCGTAATATCATGTGTGTAGACAGAGGAGGGCTTCTATCATGGAATATGCATTTCTAAGTTGCCAAGTAATCTTTTCCAAAGGAGAACACAGAAGTAAAGAGACATCTGCCAGCTGCATGGTAGGACAATGACTGAGTCTACTTTATCTCAACACATACAGGCTTTGCGCCAGCATTTCCTGGATTCTAACACTCAGTTCTCCTCTATCCTCCAGGCTTTCTAAAAACAAACCTTTGAATATTAAGTTGCTTCATTGTTCATATCCCATTATGTGATTATAAGTCTCAACCCGGACTATTTTTTGAACTGTAAGACATTTTTGAACTGTATATTTAAATTTTGGTAAGTTGCACAACTTGGCACACACTCCTCTGCCCGACTTGAGTTCCCTTTGCCTTTCTGCATACCTTGCTCTGTGGGGATTGCTTAGGTCACAGTTCTTTGGGTGGGGAGTTATAACCACCACCCAAAGAGTTTGTCTTCTCCAGGTTTTCCAGAAAGGTAGGGCAAAAGGATTCTAAAATGATATTATAACATGAGAGCTACAAAAGCAACAGACAAGGTGTGGAAACGTGTTCAGTCACCAGTTTGATTTATGACCTTTGGTGCCTTAAGAGTCAGCAGCTTTAAAAGTAAACACGAAGATTGTCAGTGAGACAGTGATGGTGGGCTCTCTCGGGATGGAAGGTTAAACCTGTGCTTGGACTTGACAGCAGGAGGCGCAGACTTGGAGGTTTAAGAGAAGGTTCACCTCCAACCGTTAGCTACAAAAATTGCTGGCTCTGTCAAGTGACGTTTCCCTCCAAGGAGGCTGGCCTCCACCTGGATATCTGCTGACAGGTCAAGTTTCACAAACGCCATATACTTGAGACAAAAACCAAAACCACATGCTCCAAATAGAGACCTACCTTCCACATGCTCCAAATAGTCTTTTTCTTTTTCTTTCTCTCTCTCTTTCTTTTCCTTCCTCCTTCCCTCCCTCTCTCCTTCCCTCCCTCAGTCCCTCTCTTTTCCCCCTTATTATCTTCCTTTATTATGTGTTTATTTTTTATTGCTATGTTTTCCTTTACTTCTACACCTTGCCCTCCCTTCGTCAGCAAACTACCCACCCCAAAATATCCACCCAGCCCACCCCGGCTTCTCCTTTACACCTACAGGCGTCTCGCTGGCTCACTCCACCGCTCCAGTCCCTCGCCCCATCGCCAATTCTCATCCTCACGCCCCCCTTCAAGCTCCGGGAAAGTGTCTCGGCACCACCATCCTTTGCATTCCCAGGCGGGGAGTATCGCACCCCGGGTCTAGCCTCTCCTGGGCGGCTCTATCGCGCCCTCCGCCCCACCAGCTCGGGGCACCCGCCGCCCCTCCAGCGCCTCCCGATGTTCCATCCGCGCGCCCGCCCGAGAAGCCCCAGCTGCGGCTTCCCGGGTGGCCCGGCCTCTCCGAATCGCCCCGCCCCGATGCAGCTCCGCCCCCGGCCGCCGCTCCCTGATTGGCCTCCCGACCCCTCCTCCCGGGTTCCTCTCCTCCCCTTTGCCCAATGGGCACCACCACCTGGTGCAAAAATTCCCCGGAGAGGACCCAGGGGCTTTGCAACCACTAGCTCCCTCCCGGTGGCTGTGACGGCCGCGGAGGGGCGCAGAGAAGGGAGGGGACACGGAGGAGGAAGGACAAGGAGGAGGAGCAAAGGTGTTGGAGAGAAAACTTCTGAAAGAAACAGGAAACCTGACGGGGAGGCGGCGGCTGCGGTTCTTGGGGCTCCCAGCCTGCGCACATCGCGGGGTGTCTGCGGCTGCCGCTCCGCTCCGCTTCTGGCCGGTTCCCCCGGCGCTGGACAGGGCTGAGCCCCGACACTCGGGCGCTCGGGCCGTGCCCTCGGCCGCCGCTCTCGGCGCTGCAGTCGTGCGCTCCATTCCGCCTCTGCGGCGGCGGCTTCCTTGAAAGGGCAGCGAGGGCGCCGAGAAGAGGAAGGACGTCTACTTTGGAGCATGAAGCAGCATGTCTGATAAAATGTCCAGCTTCCTCTACATAGGGGACATCGTGTCCCTGTACGCGGAGGGCTCGGTCAACGGCTTCATCAGCACGCTGGGGTAAGCTGGGGCGGGCTGGGCAGCGCTGGCGCCCTGTCTCCTCGGAGCCCATCCCCGTCCCTCCACGCGCCGCCTCGTCCTCCTGCGCCTGCCGAGCGTGGCCCGGCCACCGGGGAGGGTCTGCGCCCCGCGACAGTGCCGTGCATTCGGGTCGCAGGGTCGCTGGAAGCTGCCCGGAGAGGCAAGACTTTCTCAGCAACTTCATAACCTCAAACTCAGAGACGTATCCGAAAAGGAGGAAGTGATTCAAAAGCTCTGAGACAGGCCGGCGAGGTCTTCGCTGGCGTCTCTCTGGGTTATTTGGATTACCGTGTTTGTTTTCCCTTCAAGGTAAAACAACACACCTCCTCTCCCCATCTTTTCTCGCTGCCACTCTCTGCCCCTGTCTCTCGGGATCGGGTTTGGGAGAGCTGGCGATAAAAGTCCGTGGCTTTGGACATGAAACTCAAGCGAGGTGGTGAGCCGAAGTGTGGCTTCGCCCTGCGGGAGCAGCTCGCCTTGCCCTCTTCACTAGTTTCCTTTTGGCGCTGCCAAACCAGGACTCGCCCCGCCGTCCGGGACAGCCTGGGGGCCTCCGTAGCGCTGGGACCCTCAGCGATCACGTGGGCCTACTGGGTGCTAGAACTCAGACCTGCTTTCACCACTTCCCGGGCCTTGGCCCACTGAAATGCTGAATCTCTAATGGAAATCAGCCAAGTGCCGTGCTCTTGAGATCGAGTTGATTTATGAATGGAGATGTGTGTGTGTGTGTGTGTGTGTGTGTGTGTGTGTGTGTGTGTGTGTGTGTGTATCCGAATGGTTAAATAAAACTTCCTTGATTACTAGTATTGTCTCTATGTCTTGACTGAGAACACTGGGTTGCAGTTTAAATGCACACTGCAATATGTTTTGATGTGCATATATATATTGTTTTTGTTACCTCGTGGGCTCAGCACATAAACTGCCCAGTTAGAGAGTCCAGGCTGCCGAACTGGTGTTTCTACGCCTGGCTGGCTGGTCACTGTTTTCTCCTGTTAGGTTTTAGGATACATGACTTAACATGCAGTGCCCCTGGACGGAGACTTCCAGCCATGTTCTAACGGAGTGGTGCCTACTCAACAGGGGATGTGGAAGCCTCTAGAACTTCCAAGTTTCTGTTATTTATGCATCCTCCCCTCCCCCCAGGTGGGTGAAAGAAGGGAGGTGGCTTTAATTTAATCCCTTTACCATCAATGTTATTTACTTGTGAAACTGAAGTGTGGAAAAAAAAAAGTGTGGCAAGTGCTTATGCTAAGTTTGTAAATCATGCGCTACCATTTGCTTCTGAGAGAGTTCATAGTGTAAGGTCAATTTTTGGGCCCCAGTAACATTTTACTGTTGAGCTCTGTGTATTTCACCCTTCCCCTCCATAGACTCTACGGGTGTGTAATGTGGTAGTTAAGCAGGGGGTGCTTCAGAGCCAGAATGCAAGGGGTCAAATCCTGACTTCACTTGTGAACCATGTGACCCGGGGCAAGTTACACAATCGCTCTGTATCTCAGTTTCCTCACATCTCAAAAACAGGAGCAATCATAGTTTCTATTAATATCTCAGAGGATTGTGGTGAGGAAGAGTAAGTTAATATATGTAAACTGCTTAGCATGGTACCTGACACATAATAAGCACTTATATAAAGTGTTAACTATTGTAACTGTGAGCAATAGTTACACTTGTGGACAAAATCATAAAAAGGATTAGGATTAGAGTACTTGTATAAAACCTAGACAAACAAAAGGTCATGTGTCTGTAGTGTCTTATCCAGCAAAGGTATGTATGTATAGGTAACTATATGCATAGAGGGCTTTAGATGGGAAATCAGAAAGCTACAATGTTAGCAGTTGTGGAGTCTAGTCTGTCTTTGCTCATTTTAGAGGCACTGAAACTGAAGGGAAGAGAAGTGAAGAGACTTACCCAAGAAACTGAGGACATGAATGCCAAAGCTGGAACTGTAACCCTGTCTCTAGATTCCCAGCCAAGTGCTAGTTTATTTGGTTGCACCTCATAATCTTTAAGCCTTGAGTGAAAAGTAAGCTTGACCTTTCATGTAGCATATATGTTTGTATAAATATTTCTTATTTGTATTCAATATTTCTTGCTGGTGTTTTGAAAGTTGAGTGTCTTTAGGATGTGTTTGTGCAGTATTATTTTTCTGAGTCTTGCTGAGGTTACAATGATAAGACCTCCATGCAGCTGATTCTAAGCTGGGGAAGGATCTTTAGAAATGCTGCTATTGGTGAAGCTTGGTGCTTTTAAATAATTTTTTATATATTATATATATTTTAAACTTTATTGGGGAACAATGTGTTTTTTGGGGAACAGTGGGCTTTTTCCAGGACACATCAGCTGCAAGTCAAGTTGTTGTCCTTCAATCTTAGTTGTGGAGGGCACAGCTCAGCTCCAAGTCCAGTCGCGGTGTTCAATCTATAATAGTTGCAGGGGGTGCAGCCCACTATCCCATGTGAGAGTTGAACCAGCAATCTTGTTGTTAAGAGCACCCGCTCTAACCAACTGAGCCATCCGGCCGCCCACCAGCAGCTCAGCTCAAGTCATTGTCTTCAATCTGGTTGCAGAGGGCGCAGCTCAGTGGCCCATGTGGGAATCGAACCGGCAGCCCTGTTGCTCAGAGCATGCACTCTAACCAACTGAGCCACACAGCCTCCTGAAGCTTGGTGCTATGATTGGATATTCTTTTTCTTTAACCTGTGGAACTACATCGCTGTCTGATTTTTAAGGAGTCATAAAGCTTGCAGGAGCATATATCCATGCCACATAAAATCTTATCTCGACAGAGAAGCATCACCTACTTTATTAGCTTGGAAGACAATTGGTAGATATTTATTTTGCAAGTTGGTTTTAGGGCTGTGAAACCAAAGGAGCATAGTAGTTATAGTTTTCCATTGTATTGTTGTAGGGTCATTATTTATACACTTTCTGTATCAAAGACAGTGCATACTTCTAGTTGAATTTCCTTGCTCTTCTATTAGTTGGAGATCTTATCTGCTGCTAATTAGCTATGTAACCTTGTTCATGTCATTTATTCTCTTTTCATTTCAGCTTGTCTTTCTGGAGACTAAGAAGGAGAGTATATGCCATGCCCACCCCCCTGGGGTATATAAAAGTGAATGAAAGAGACAAAAATGAAAGAGCACAATTTTTTTTTTTTGAAAGTTGTTAGGAAAATCCATATTTTACTTATATTTGTGTGGTCCTTACATTTCTTCAAAAGGTTTGTGAATTGTTAAAGTGCTGGATTGGAGACAGTGTTGTATCTATTTAGCCAAAATAGTTTGTTCCACTGTAATATTAAAAACTCAGTGGAAGACCTAAAAATTAGGCTTAGAGTTTCTGATTTCTATTGTAGCTTTTTATCTCTTTGGCACTTTTGAGAGCTTAATGGTTTTTTAAATTCAACTTAGGAGAGTAGTTAATGAGACCTTAGTTTACAAGCATTTCAAGAAAATAGATATTTATTTGTCTGCAAATAAATTGTCTGATTTGAATATTCAATGTGTAATAAATAAGTTTGTGATGATATACATTGTTATTATCTAGCTTTGGGGACTTTTTGCAATAAGGTAACACATTTCTCAGCTGAAAAAATTACTGAGTTTCACTATATTGGAGTTTAGCAGGCCTCTCTTAGAGGCCCGTCCAACTGGAAATGTGGAAGGATTTTCTTAGGTTCTGTGACCCAGCTTTTAAGTTTGATTTCTCAGCCTGAAATGCAAAGATTTGTATTTCCCCTGCTTCCCCCCCCCCAGATATACTTTAACCAGTATTTACCTGATGTTTCTGAATTTTTTATTTTTGCAAACTGAAGTATTGTTTTCCCAGTTAGTATAGGTGCAAAAGGGGCTTACTTTGTATTTCCTAACTTATTTTTTCATCTAAAGACCTATTTAGGAAATACTTATATTGATTTAAGGAAAACTGCTTTAAATCTTATTAAGTGAAGATGGTGAATATATTTTAAATAAATGAATTTTTTGATACCAGTACATTTTAGTGTTATATATAGTTTTTGTTTTTCATTTATAAGGGAAGGAGGGAGTTTTGGAATATCCTATACCATTTCAAATGCAGTATTAATTGTCCCTTCTCCCTTTCTCCATTTTCTTTATACTGAGATTTACTTCCCTGCACTTTGCCACATCTGACATTTCGTATTTCTGGGTATACCAACTTGACCATTGGGCAGATACTACACAGTTGGGGGTGAGCATAGCAGAATTTCCGGGATGGGTGGGATAATAGAATCAGCAAAAGGTATATAATTCCTTTATTGTTTATTCTTTGCATGGTTGAGAGGTTAGTAAATGACAAGTGTGCATATATGTATTTGTGTGTGTGTGTATGTGTGTGTGTATCTATATAGGTATGTTTAAGTGATTGCTGCCTTCAGCTTGACGTTTCTTCTCAGGATTTACTAAGAATCAACACCCTCTAGTTAAGGAGTCAGAAAACTGTCAGGTGATCACGCATCCATGCAGTGACCGCAAAGCATCATCATAGTCATAGTAGGCATAATGAGGCTTCGGTAATAACAGGCCGCATACACGATGGTGGTCCCAGAAGATTATAATGGGGCTGAAAAATTCCTATCGCTTAGTGACCTCTTAACCATGGTAACAGACAGCGCAACACATTACTCACGTGTTTGTGGCGATGCTGCTGTAAATAAACCTACTGCATAGCCAGTTGTATAAAAGTATAGCATATACAATTACAGTAGTAGGCTCTACCATCTAGGTTTGTGTAAGTGCACTCTATGATGTTTGCACAAAATTGCCTAACTGCACATTTCTCAGACTGTATCGTTAAGTGGTGCATGACTATCGTCTCTTAGCCAGAGTGACAGAAGATTAAGGCCCTTGCTTTTATTTCCTGCTTTATTTTGGCCACTTCAGTGAACTTCTCAATTCCTTTGTTTCCCTGTTTAGTGATGGACATCGGACAGGGTGATGGTGGGTCACACAGTTTAT